TAAGGAACTCTTATAATGGGATATACGGTGACCAAAATCTCGCGGAATTAACTGTTGCCTCCTCAGTTTACTCTCAGTTACCTAGCAATTAAAAAATAAGAGTGGAGTTTTTCGAACCCCAATACGCTTGATCCCAATAAAATGACGATAACTCATAGGCGAAGAGCTCACTTGTTTTCACGTCGATGACGAAGACTTGCAACCTGGTTGTAAGCACGGCTACAAAACGTCCACATGGAGACACAGTAAGTTGGGCTACTCCACCACATCCACCTGAATTCATTCATTTCGTCGTCCCCAAAAGCCTACATACAATAACAGGAAAATTATTTTCTATTTCCCGCAATGAGGTGTATGACGTGACATGCGGGTCCCAGAATTGATGTCAACCTGGAGTATGCTGCGCAAAATTTCGTTGTCTCGTATGTTCCCTCCTCTCAAACGATTAAGAGCCGTGTCCTATCCTTCCTCCGGGCGGACGCGCCACCGCCACCGATTCTATCTTGAGATTGGGGGAGATAGGGTTGCGCCGATCTCACCATACCTCTGCGTTTTGAACTCCACCAATCGAAGCAGTGCGAGCCCTTGGAGGAAACGGCTCCAACTGGAGAGGGTAACTACAAAATCAGCCGTTTAAGGGTGGGTCCTATGACACAACCCTGTCTCCCCAAGCTCAGGATTAGATCGGCGGCGGAAGCTCGTCCCCTGGAGAAACATGAGACGCGGCCTCTAAAGATAACTCTTCTGGACCCTCCCACCCGAAAATCTTGACTGATAGAAGCTTTGTAACCGCAAATGCCATGCCACGTCAAATTCTGCAACTACAGCCGCCCTAATTGTAAATACGGGAGACGAAGAGTATGTACGTTATGATACTCACTTTGTTCCAATACCCGCACGGATTCACCATCTTTGATAGAGACACGCCATAGTTCGAAATCACCAGTCGTTATATACAGACAATTCCCAACAATCTGAAAACTATCAAAATGAGATCACAGCAGCCAAAAAATCTACTTCAACACCACGCCACTCTTTGTGGAGCACAGCCACACCAAAAGCAGTCGCTTCATTTGTTTGATATGGCATTATATTCCCGAGCTTCCTGTATACATTTGCAATTGCAGAGCCGACAATTAACTTATGCAACATTCCGGAAGACCAATTATTATAGCTTCGGTGAGGGAAAAAAGATGTTGTTTCACGGCCGAAGAGTGCAATGGGTGAAAACCAAAATCAACAGGATTTCCTCATCCAACAAATAGAAATGGCAGTAGGATGTTCACGTAAACTTCCCCAAAATGATCTAAACAGAAACTCACTTTCAAAGCAGAAGCTGGTCGGGTAGTACATTTGCTACGTAGGGAAGTTTTGCCTTCATTTTTCGTTTTTCGTGCTCAGCTGGTACACCGTTGTCGAATCAGTAGACGAAATAGCTATGAGTCGTCCATCAGTCGACATGTCACTGCAATCAATTGTTTTCTCTTGACCAATACTTGGATAATTTTGAATAATAAAATAATGGGGCAACAAAATTCCTTCATATGAAGTAACAAATTGTAAAGCATGGCAAAATCAGGGAGAACCAGAAACAGACATATAAATTATGGAAATCAAGTTTCGGGAGCCGAAACAACTTCCATCCCTGAGAGGTTCTGTGAAAATCGCATTGACAAGCATGCGTTGAAAAAACGTTATCCAAACAGTACATCGGAATACACACACTCTGTACTTTCATTGTCAGTCAAGGAGTGACCTGAGAGACTGAGTGGCAGCCTATTTACGCGAACGAACCCACTTTATATTATCACAAACCACAAAAGTGAACCAGTGGGTAAAGCCCGAGGAAATTGCTCTAGACGTGCCTGCGAAAACCCGATTTCTAAAATTTTTGCATGGATCAGCTAAGCACCAACTAGCCATTTTAATCATCCTTCAAACGCAAAAGGGTGCAATGCTTTACTGTTCTTTCCTACCACGAAAAGCTAAGGATCTCAATCAAACTAAAGTGCTTGCACCATCCAAATGTGTGGTTACGAATGAATCTAGAATTTGTATGGTCCTTCCATCATTTTTCATGCAGTAAATCGCTTTAGATGGCAGGAAGAAAAAGATCCTAACGTTGAAAGTAAACACTCACCAAGCAACTAATGGTTTCTTCTCTGGACAGTAAACTCGTGCGAGATAGACAGGCTGCCTTTTCACAATTATTTCGCCCGATGATGTAGTCTGCTCGCCAGCTCCGCTCGTCCAAATATCAACAAAATTGTGCCCTCGACACATCGCCAGTGAGCCTCCAAGATACAACAGCTTCTGAATTTCTGCTGATGACTTCCACTAGCCCATCACAGGCCACATTAGTCGACCAACTAATTATAATAATGAATTATTTGAATAATCCTCACATTCCACTGGCTCGCCACAACTTGACAGCCGCTCTTTGCAACGAAAATAGCGTGGTCTTCGCCTGCAGCGTAGACCTTAAATTAGATGTTCAGCCTAAGTGTTCTCAAGAAGATGAGCGGATAAACTATGCACACCTTATCGTCGAAGCATGCCATTGCTCGGACATCCCTTATCGGTCCGTTGCGCTGCTGCACAACACGAAAATCATTTCCTGCCTGGAATTTCGAAAACTCTTAAAATGCCAGAAACTAAAATCCATTTCAAAGGCGAAGACAACTCACTATGTGTTTGATGCTTATTATTCTCGGATCAACACCAGCTGCATGAATGCGACCTTCACATAGCACCAAACAGAGTATTTCGGACTGATGGGTTTCCAAACTCTTAACACGACTGATTACCGAGTATTAGCACGCCATCAAAGATAGGACAAGATCTCGAAATTGACTAACAGAAACTAGCGCTCCATTTTGAAAATTCCAGAAAGACACAACACCACGAGAATCGCCACTGGCCAGAATGGTCTCATTAAAAAAACAACAACTCCATACGATAGTTGGGAGGCGTTTCTCCTGAAAAACATGAGCGATAAAGTCCATAGACTAGATAGCTATTCTATAAGAACCCACCTTCCTGGGAACCACTAATTTATGCATCACCGCATTATTTTTAACCACATATACGCTATCCATAGCACCTACGGCAATCTGAAAGTGAAACCAATGTAATCAACATGCTAGATTGCAATGATCAAAGACTCAGATGAAGGCGGCGCGAAAGCCAAGAGCTTGATGATAACATGATTTCTAGGAAGATTCTTTTCTTGAGTGCCTCAGAGGTAGTACCTTTCCGTTTCTCACAGCAGTGGAGTAAAGAACAGGTTCTTACGCTGGGAAGTACTATAACACATACTGCCCAAATACTGCTAGCAAAAACGCAGAAGCAAACATCAAGCACCGGTCATTCGTAGATTAATAAAACTCATAGATCTCAACAACTGTTTAAAGAAGTGGACTTCAACCGAATGCAAAAAAAAGTCAAGAACTGCACTGACCGAGTAGAAAAAAGCTAATTTCCACTACTAAGAACCGCCCTGCTGCCTTTACATCGATCTCGGGAAGATAGTTATATGCAAGAAAAACCATCTATAATAGTAACCCCTTGAAAGACACTTTCTCTAACAAGCAGATTTTCGATACTGTCGAAATAAGGTGGTCCAGTGGGAGATGGTGTAGTGGTGATGCCGCCATAAGGTCTTAAACTTTTCTCAGGCAAATAAAGCCTTCTATCCCTCCACCAAACTCGTCTGGAAGAATCAAGACATTGACTTGTATATTGGCTAGCTTCCGCTAGCCATTATGAAGATCATACCGCATTCAAATAGACCTGCGATTCTAGATGGAAATAGAATGCGTGGCACATCCTAAAAGCCTAATCATCACCGAGATCTTTACCCTTTTCCCTTTTGTGGTAACCCTAAGATTCACGAAATATAATCAAAAAGAGACTCACCGTACTCTCTCTACTACATACACAAAACAATCTTTGATCAACTCCAAGAGATAATGTCGATATTGCCGTCGATTCATCCAAGGCTAAATATGAACAAAGCAGCGGAATGCGATACTAAAGCAGCATGAGATGAATCAATGGCGCATGAAGACCACAACGGCGATGGGCAAATTTGCACACGCTGAAAAATTATTTCCTTTCTCTAACTAGAACCAAGTCCGGTCCGACAAAGCGTAAAAAGAGATAAATTACCCTTGTATAGTCTGAATGTGGGTCAGCTATCGTAACAGAACCATTCAAGTGCGTACAAAGTATTCGATCACCAATAAAACATATCGACTCAATGCCACCGTTGTCAGGACATATAACCTAGAAAAAAAAATAGATTGGTAAAGCAGTTGTAACTAATGATGTGTTTTCAATAGTCAGCCAATGCTAATAGGTCTGTAGACAGTAGATTAAAAATACGCTTCAGTCCCGTCTACCACTTGACACCACACGAGATCAACTTTGTTGATTCCTTCCTCCAAAAAAGAGCATAGACTTGAAAAAGCCGTCGGTTGCTTCCCAAATACTGTTCTCACTCTCGAAATTATTTAGGAGCAGGAAACAGTGGTTGACAGAAAGGCAACAAAGGGAGAGCTCCAGGCCAGTGGCTCAGTAGGTTCGAGGGAGCATCAGCCGGTAGAACTTCGTCAGACCAGCTTTGTCGCCGTACCGTGACATTGTATAGTAGGAGTTGATGGCCGCCTCAAATCTACGGCTGTTACAGGAGCTGCTCGGTAATCCATCAGAGCCCTACAGCTCTGACATTGCTCCGTTCGATTACCGCCTCTTCAGTTCAGCGCTGGTTGAACAGAAAGCCGAGGAGAAGAATTCAGGGAGGAGCCGAACAGCTACTGAGGTTTCAGTTCCTTCTGGGAAGAAGGCATCGACAAGCAGTACGACAGTTTGTATCAAGTGCCAAACAGGGATGAAGCATAACAATCCGGACCGCTTCGCTTTCATTTATTTATTTATAAAAAAATAAAATTTGAAATATGTGCGAAATATACAGAGTAAGGAAGCTTCCGACAAACGAGCGGTATACCATAATTCCTCAAGAGTATTCCCCTTAGGTGCGAGCCTTTCCCATTCTAGTCAAGGTCGCGTTCTGACAGCCGTCACTGAGCGGTGAGTTTTTTGAAGCGTCCCTTAAAAGATTAGTGAC